TTGAAAACCTCCTTATTATAAGAGTTAGCGCTAATTCTAAATTCAATGGAAGAGGGTATATGTTTGATAACTGAAGGGGGATGGTTGGAATTAGGATGCACGTATAATGGGTTGGAATTAACCTTCACATATGGTTGGAAAATGCTGTTAGCAAGATCTAGGGTGACATCTAGAAAATCCACTTGTCTAACATTAGTAGTAACTATTGTCTTAAGACCTAAATCCTTAAATACTCTATAGATCATTTTCCTAATACGGTCTACCTTAATTTTAGTCGAGTTTTTAACAACTAATAATCCATCATCTCTATACAATCGTACACTATCTGAATCTAGACAATCGAAGGCACTTAAATTATATAATAATAATCTAACCAAGTCCGAAGCTTCAGCAGAATCCAAAAAACCCATGGGAAATATATATATATATATATATATATATATATATATATATATATATGATAGAAATTAGAAAACCCTAGAAATGCTTATAAGTTTCTTACATTTGTTGGAGCGGGCATATCCTTTATTGAGCTCGCCCGGGAATGATCCGGTCGTCCACCGTTTTCGTCAATAATTTGTCGTAGATATTTAAGTCTGGACATAAACAATTCGCATTTTCCTTCACTAATCTTAAAATCATATTCCTTAATTCTCTAAAATACTTTTTTTTACATCTTCTGCATGTTGCTTTCGTATCTTACTTTTAATAACGCTGTTCACAGGTAAAGAATTCCAAGATTTTTTCAGATGCTTTTCATTGAACATGTTACAACACAACTTCTTTAAAAACTTTTTGCAGTTTTAATATTTTGATTGTGAGAACTAATCCTGCTTCAGAATATTCTACTCCAATATGATAATTATAATTATCAACAAAATGGAGGGGGACGTATAATGAGAGAAGAAGAGCTGGAGAATTTAACACACTCGTGATATAAGTAGAAGTAGGAGAAAACTGCAGGTAACCTAACACAGGCGGTGCGAACGGGTGGCAGTAGATTGAGAGATGATAAAGGGCCAAAGGTAACTTAAACTTTCTGCAGATTCATGATCGCCGATGGTATGAAATGAAATGGCAGACGAAAGGAGAGTATTAATAACATTTTGCTTCCGCTTCGTTTTTTATCCAAATATAAATTCATTTCATGATTTCGCAGGGCGATAATATTGCCTCTCATTCTTATATTTTACATCTGATGGCTTTTTATGAGAAGCTTATTCAACTTATTTTATTTGTTGCTTCCTTCAGACAAACGTCATTCAAGAACAACTGTCACTTTCTACTGCTTACTGATCGTAAAAATGAATCGAGCCTAATATTATTATAGGACTCAAGAATGTAATATATAGAGGATTGAAACTGCTAATATTGACATTTCCTTCCTCGTAGTGTCGCTTGTGCTGTGAGTTTGGCAGATGAACAAAACTTGGATAGAACGCAGAACTTATAAACTTGGCCGCCACAATTAAAGTTCCCATAAACAAAAAAGAAATAAACCGATAAAAACCCAATGTATTTCTTGGCACATTAAGAATAGTCGTTAATAAAACGAGATTTAAAAGCAATATAAGAGGTTAAGTTGCAGTGTTTATAAATTATGGATATATTTACATTATGAATAAAGAGTGACAAGAGGAAAAACTATTCTTAGCCGCCGCCTTATCAAGGCAAAGTGGGTTTTATTTAGTTGCAAACTTGGATGTCATATGTTTATCAATGCTTTTAGATTTGAGAACGTTCATGAATGTTCATCAAGTGGTTGAAAGGTCAGTCAAAACATATGGAAGGCACAAAGTGCCATAATTCATGGTCTGGTAAAAAGTAAGTGAGTTAGAATTTTTTGATGAATATGGTTATCAGTCTTTCCTTTTGTCTATTTTTATTTATTTTGTTCCTTTACAGATACACTCCTGTCTTAAAAAATAATCTGCACACACACACACACACATATGTATACGTATATATATATATATATATATATATATATATATATATATATATATATATATACATCTCTCTCTCTCTCTCTCTCTCTCCCTATATATATATATATATATATATATATATATATATTCTGAAAATAAAAAATGATTTATGGATTACGGTTTTATGTGTGCAATGTCCATACATATATGTAAGGTAAGCGTAACTTAATATGGCACAAAGTCACAAGTTTTGAGCAATCTGTAAGAGTTGAAGTAACTACAGCACTAATATTAAATTCTAACCTGATAAAGCTCACCCTATCTCTCTCTTTCAGTACACACACACACACACACACACACACACACACATATATATATATATATATATATATATATATATATATATATATATACACACACACATAGAGAAAGCGACAAACAGATATTAAGACATAAAATAAAGTTTGAATAATAAAAAAATATATATATATATATATATATATATATATATATATATATATAGGGTCCGATGGGTAAATTTTCGTCATTTTATATAAAATTAGACTCTTTCCTAATCCACTGCATTGCATTAAATATATATATTGTATATATGTATTTACATGTTATTTAGTCAAATATATACACTTGAATCATATTCATAAATACATTCCGAAAAAAATCTTATATCTCCCAACATATCGTCCTGCGAATCACTGCTCTGTTGAACAAACTCCCAGAGGATGTTTCCCTCCCATGTCATTACAATCTTAGTCTGTCTTGAGTTAACCGTTAACGTCCATTTTTATCCGTATCAAATGCCCCTTAACCTAACTCTCTACTTCGAGTTGTCCTCAGGCCTTGTAGCAGGTGAAACCTGCTGTAAAATAAATAATAAATAAAAACTATATAGTTTTTATTTATTTTACAGCAGATTTCACCTGGTACATATATAACCTGTATATATATGAATATATATGCATATAACTATTAATATATATATATATATATATATATATATATATATATATATATATATATATATATATATATATATATATATATATATATATATATATATGCTATTTTATATATATATTATTTATATATTATATATGTGCGGTACTTATTGGAAAGCGCTCAATATCAATGATACAGCTAAGTTGGATTGATGTGATTTTGTGACACGTTATTTTGTGATCGTCAGACAAACTGGTTATTTTTTTTAATCAGTTTGTCTGACGATCGCAATTAGTGTGAAACTCCAGGGTCACAAACTCACATCAATCCAACTAAATATATTGTGTGTGTGTGTGTGTGTGTGTGTGTGTGTGTGTGTGTGTGTGTGTGTGTGTGTGTGTGCATGATTACATGCATAAATATATAGTGACTTTGTCATCTGGTTTGACAGTGTATTTACGACTTTTTGTTTTTTCTTGCACGTTCTTGTTAAGATTCCCTTATCGTTGTCTAAGTTATTTTTTGTTTAGCTTTTTTTTTTTTTTTTTTTTTTTTTAGCGTTTCTTTAAATTTTCTTCTCCTTCCATTCCTGGTCATAATAAAGAAAATGTTAAGCAAATAAAATGCTTGCTTACTTTCCTCGCGCTGGCTCCAGAAGATTGCATTGTACTTATTTTAATAGGGGATTACCAAGGGTGGTGACGCAGCCGCTCGCCGCCACCGGCTTTGACGGGAAACCCAGAAGCCTCAAGGCGTGTGACGCACGTCCTTCATATTTGCATCGTCACGAACAACGAATCTCGGATTTACCGAGATATCGACTAGGCTGACCGGGCAGGTCACTTGAGAAAGATTTCTCATATTTTTACAGAATTCACTATTCAGAAAAATATACTTCGTTTTTTTTCTTTTCTTACTTTCCTCTTTTTTAAGACAGTTTTTGTATTTAATTCTTTTGCTAGCCTTGTCGTTCATACAGCAATGACTCTTTCCATCTGCTAAGTAAATAGAGCGTATTGGATAAGGCTAGTTTTACTAGATATACTCTCTTTTAGTTGAAGAAATAAAATAAAAGGAATCGTGATATAGTCACCAAGAATTGTTCATGAAACGTCTAATGAAGATAATCTCAAGTGGGGAGAAGGGAGCATTTCGTGTAGGGTTAGGGCGTAATGAAGATTGTGAGTAGAGTAAAGCTGGCTTGGCACAAAGTCAATTTAGTTTCATTTTGTCGCGTTCTTTACGTTGTGCTTCTTATTCAACTCATGCCAAAGACAATATCAAGTAAATAGCGAAGCGAATGAAAGTCAAATTCTTGTCACCAAAAAATAGAAACAAGTTTTTCCAGTTAAATAAATTAAGACTTGTGGAATTAAATGCAGCAAGCTTTTATTTGGAAACGAATATAAGTTTTTTTTTTGGGGGGGGGTTATATACAAGTATATCCCAGAAACAAAAAAGTTATATGTTCGCATTTGTTATATTCTCGATGCCTTTCGGCAATTTATCTAATTTTTGGAATAATGCCTATAGGCCAAGTATCTTCGTCATCAACTCACTCTCCTAAGAACAGCGAGGAATTGCCTATCTTCGCTGTTAGCGCGGATTTATAAGTCCAAAGGTGACTTGTAAGGTCAAATATTGCCTGGAATCGATAGTAACAATGAGGTCAGACAACTGTTCTCGGAGGAAGAGTAAGTCTACCCTTTCTGAATATAGTTTCTTCTGTTCATTTCGAAGCCGGCCGTAGGATCTTTGATGATTATCCTCCAATACTTGTGTTCATGGTTTACACTTTCCAGGTTTCGTGGTTTAGCTCAGACACCTTTAATATCAACGATTTTGGCAATTAATATTAATAGCAAAGAAATTTAAAAAATAGGATGAGAAGCTGTACGGATATATTCAGCAATTTTTATTTTTATTAAATGTTCACCCAGCTTACAGTTACATGAGGTTGAAACACCAATTCAGGTATAATGACCTATGTTAAGTAAAGTCGAGCCTGGTCAGTACCTAAATGGGTGACCGCTTGGGAGAACCCGGTACTGTAGCCTTGGATGTACGGATACGGGTGGCGTAATCAATAATGCCTTGGAATTCGCTACGGTTACATGAGGTTGAAACACCAGTCCCCGTATGATCACCGATGTTAAACAAAACCAAGCCTGGTCAGTACCTTAATGGGTGGCCGCTTGGGAGGACCAGGTACTGTAACCTTCGATGTACGGGTAGGGGTGGTGTAATCAATAATGACTTGGAATTCTTTATATTCACTTACGCGCAAATACCCCGAGGAAAGTTATGAATACACTTCTTTTCCTTCAGCTATGCTTTAATTTGTAAGACTTGAATCACTAAAATCATTATTATCTAAAAGAAAAATTTTTACAATCTAAAAATATTTTTTAAGTGTTAAGTATAAATATTCTTTAAGTAACCTTCAAAAGGGTTGATACTCTGTAGAAAACGAATCAATCAAATAATTTTCACCCAATACAATGCACAAGAGCCACTCAAGGTAGAGCGTTACTACATAAGGTTGTTCAATTCACGCAAGAGGAGAAGGTAAAAAAGTGCAATTCTGAAATACATTGGAAAGATAATAGTTAACTCCAGACATGAAGCGTTTCTGCTGACCTGTGAATCATACTCTCAAGAATATGTTTCACGAAGTATTGATTCTTGCGAAGAACTTCTTTCTTACAAACGGAATACGGAAGTAATGAGTATGATATATAACAGTTTATGCGGCATGTTAGCTGTGAAGTTCTGAACTAGGGGAACTGGTAAATGTAGGTCGTCTGAACATTTTCCATGGAAATAGCGATGTAGTAACTAGAGCCTTGCAATGTTGTGTCGAAGTGACGATTAGGCAGTTCCAGTTGAATCCTTAATCCAGAACTGTTTCCATATCAATTTGACGAAGGAAATTCCCCAAAGCAGATATGCCTGTGTAGGAATGGGGATTAGTCATTGGAATTTCACCATGCAAAAAAATGGTATATGCCAAACCCACTATCTGTTTTAACAAATAAAAGAAACTTACTCCAAGAGAATATCTAATCATCATAATTAATCAACCAGAACGTTTTTTAATCTGACTCTTAACGTTAAGAACTTCCTTAATCAAAATCACACACATTTTGCTATGGAGCATGTGTCTGTTATAGCACCATCTTTACAAGCGCTAGATGAAAATGGATTACTGCTGCCATATATGCAGGAGCTGCCCAGTCGCCACTTTCCAGTTTCGATAGAGACCAAAATTGTCTACGCTCTCTTGTGGGTGATTAATTATTTTCTAACCAACAAGCCCTTTCTCCTAGATGATTTCCATGGAAGGTGTTCAAATGAAGTAGATTCCTTAGTTTCCCCATTTCTAACCTTCACAGATAAGACCCGACATGCCATGCATATTGTTGCGAACCACCCTCATTCAATTCGTATGCCATTGCTGAGATGTGGGTTCCATTTGAAGAGCTTCTTCTCATGAAATGTTTTTTTTTTTTTTTGTGGAATCGACTCTCAAGAGGATGCTTCTCTGACCACTATAATCTTAACCTATTCAAATCTACGGTCATCTTGTTCAGACATCTATTCTACCAGTTTGTTAAGTAGATTTCCCTCTGTCCTTCTTGCCTTCAGTATGTCCCGTAAATATTCATTTCTCCAAACCTACTTTCCTGAATTTGTCTCCTAGAAATTGTAACTGTCTTTTTTGAATATATATAAGTGACATTTTGTACATTTATGTACATTCTCCGATTCTTACTTTGTGTCTTGGGATGTATATAAATCCCACTTATAGTTAGAGATCAAGATTAACAATCTTAATAACATAAGACATGCAGGTGACACATTGTTGATGGCAAATACAGAAACAGAACGACAAGGACTCATAGAGAAGATAAAAGTGAGAAGAACGGACTTTTTTCACCCAATACAAGACCTAAGATTCCTCGAAGGTAAAGTGCACTGAATGAGATTGTTGTAAGTGCGGTTGGGATTAAGAAATATATATTATGTAGTATAGATAAAGGTTGATCTTAGACTTCAAGACACCAAGATTGTAGTTGTCAATGAAGCAGTCTGTCGGGAGTTTGTTCCACAATTAATCTGGAAAGACGCTGTCTGAGTGGAACTTCCTTTTTATCAAAGTAACACGAAGGGGATGGAGATGGTTTGCCACTGTCGACACGGCATGGTGGGTCCTAGCTGTAAACATCTGTAACTCATTCAAACATCTGCCATAGGAATAGCTTACGGTTTAATCACGCTGAAACACCGGTTCTCGTTCGATCACCGAAGTTAAGCATCGTAGATGGGGAACCGCTTGGGAACACCTGGTACTGTAAGCTCCCAAAGTCCAACCCTTACCTCACAGTCGGTGGGGGGGTGTAAACGGTAGTGTCAGAGCTATGCCGCCCGGGACTTCGTTCCTGGTAGGGCCACCCAAGGCGGACAGGTCTGACACACACGCCGGCTAATAAGGGCTCTGGTGAAAATCCAAGGAGCGTCTGCATCGGTAACCGGCGGCTTCTGGTCGTTCCTGTCTCTGCGTCTGTGGGAACCCCGCGGCAAGCAAGAACGTTATCCGAGTAGGCCTGGGTACCCTACTTCTGTAATTTATCCCAAGAATCTTCTTCTCATAACAGGAAGAAGCCGGCTCAATCCGCCCAGGGTGAATGCCGCATCAGTACAGTACATAGCAATAGCAATGTTTATTCTGCAGGATAAGGCTTGCACAGTGGAGAATAATTCATCACCCACAAAACCACGTAAGCAATTTTGAACTCTGTCTAGTCTGGAGAGTGGGGATTGTGCAACACCAATATTTTCCCATTGATTTGTGTGAAATCAGAGGAGAGATAAATTGCAATTTTAACCACTTCAGAAAAACATTTACCTGTGAATAATTCAAATGGCCACCGGAAATGCATAATTGTTCACCTATTCAAAAATAGTACCAGTGTCTATTTTTGCGTATAAAAATGGTCATAAAACTCCTACTATATTCGAGTATATATGGTAATGAATCCCACAGGATGTGACAAAGTAGAAGGAATTTTAGGAAATTAACATATTAAAATTTTTGAGCTCGACTCTTTCTTTTTATCTGATGAAAGCTGCACGAATTAATTCTTCGGATTATTTATTTTCTACTTTCAAATATTTCTAATCTATCGATAAAAGAAACAAAAAAAACTAGAAAAACAAACTATTCGGCTAAGCAAGGAACGTGTGCTGCTTTTGTGTCTGTCCTTAGAATTCGTGTCAAATAATTTACAACGACGTCAACGAATTATTTTCAAGATTGACGGTAATGTCTGTACAAAGTAAACATTAAACGTCGCCACACGAAAGACCTTGTCTCGTTACGCCTCTATAGTCAATTTAGAGTATACGCTTAAGATTGCTGCTTCTTTTCATTGTAGAAGTAGATTTTCTATTATTCATATCAAATATTAAACCTGGTATATTTAAGTGTATTTGAGACAGCTTTATGGATAAGTGTTTCACGTATTTATCGTCAGATGTAGTGTTCACTGTTGAAGTCTAAATAAAAACTATAATTAAATATTTTCTTGGAAGGTTGGTGCAACGTATTATACAAGTTTTTATTTTTTATTTTTACCTCTTTGGCTTTGTATCGAGAAAGTTAAATTTTCTAGATATCCATGCCCGTCAACAAAGCAATCAAAGGAATAACCACATATAATCGCCTTAAATACTTAAAGCTGCTTGAATGTGACAGAATAAACTAGGGTAGTGCTTTTGTAGTGTTACTTCTAAAGTCAATAATCTGGCCACAACAGAAACGTTTACAATTTTGGAAAGATTTCAGAAGATATAAAAAATTAATTTGTGAGATTTTGTCGGACGATAATTCTTTCCCTGCGCTAATTGTATGCCAAAATTCAATAGTATATCGATAGTAACTTCCGGATCATTAGAGATAAAATTATTTTTAGAAATACAAGTTTTAGCCCAAAACGTAAAAAATGTATCTATATTGTAATAATGGATTAATTCATCATAAAATTAAAAGAGGTTCTTTCAAAAAAGAAGATGCGAAAGAATTGACAGGGAGTGCTTTAGAAAGGCAAATGAAATTTATGAAAGGGGAGTTGTCTTAGTTATTGATAACTCTCCCTGCCATACTTCAATTGAAGAAGTTGTGGAGGATGATGAATTTAGACAACACCAAATTTTCAGACATGCCCCCTATAGTCCGATGTTAAATCCCATTGAAAAGGTTTGGCCAGTCATTAAAGCTGACGCAAAAAGAAGTATGGCAGACTCAATTGTTGGGATTTTAAAAGGGGATGGCCAGGGAACTTTAACTACTAAAGAATTCCGCCTCAGCAAGTTAGAAGCTATGATCTCCAAGGCAATTAATAATATTTACCCTGAGACTTGCATTAACTTCGTATCTGGAAAACAGAGATTACTTCCATCTGTAATTAACTTAGATGATGTAATCTTTTAAATAAATTTCTTAGGAACGTTTATATTTTTTTATATCCCTTTTAAGTAAAAATAAAAGAATAAATATTAATTTTATTATTATATATTAATTCTCAATTTGAACTTGATTAATCCAATTTGAAGTTGATTATTTCGCATTTTGAAGTTGTTTTCCAATTTGAAGTTGATTTATCCATTTTGAAGTTGATTAATCCATTTTGGAGTTGATTAATTTTTTTACCTGAAAATAAGTCCATTTTGAAGTTGATCATTATCATTTTGAAGTTGAAAAGGTATAGTTTCTAAATAGTACACCCACGTATACCTAATAAAAGGTAGAAAGCAACACGTGTCGGTGCAGAAGACAACCCCAGATGGCCGACCGGTAAGAAGATACTCTACTACTTCATTTAGTATAGAGAAAATTTTCTTTTCAAAGAAGTGTTTGTTCACTTGAACTGTCTTTAATATTATCCGACTTTAAAAAAGAGACTTACTTCAAGAAATACTTTCCTATAACAGAAACAATGTTATATTCAAAACATTGTGTATGCTCATTGAATATATTCTTTTAATACTTTTCCTGTTGAATCACATTTGTCTTTATAGCAATAAACATTTCAAAAAGTGTTCCTCTAACCGTCATGTGTATATATATTCTATTTTCACATTGTCTTTTGGTTTGCCCCTCACCTTCATTTGAGAATTTATATGATGCTATCAAAAGGTGCTTCATTGAAAGATCCATGTGACAATCCTTACAATCCTTGTGTGACATTTTATAGAATATATTGTTACAAAAATGCAACTAACTCCGCCAAATGAGGTTTCGACTTTCACAGGTGTTCGTCTTTCCCGTTATTTTTGTCTCTTATTAGAAAATATATTCACCCCGAACCAGGCTAATAACTTGGTAATGGAATTTAAGATTTCTCGGTTTTCTGTGAAATGATTTTGATAGATTTTTTTCTCAGCTGTTTTAAACATTATAGCAACACTATTGCTAAGTTATCATTATTCTATGCAAGGTCCTTTATTTTTTATATCAGATTTGATAGCTTTTGAGTGAATCAATATTAATAGAGTCTCTCCTCTCTAAGAACAATGGAACGTGGAAAAGCCTCAACAATGAAGAAAATTCTGTCATCATCAAGAAAAGTGCCAAAGGCAACTCTCTTCATGCCATGGCAGAGAAGTTAGGTCGTCATGTGGATACGGTTAGACGATTCCTAAGAAACCCTTCGCCAAGGAAGAAACGTTCCGATTGTAGAAACTATAAGACTGTCACAGCTATGGATTTAAGTACTATTAGCTGCAAGTTATGTGAGAAACCCGGATAAACAATCAAAGCCAATTTCACCGCCGATGGACTTCCTCATGTACTGAAAACCACCAGAAATCGCATACTCGGACCGTGGTTTCCGTACGAACTCCTCAGAAACTGTCTCCTTTAATACCCCGTCACAGGAATTGGAGGCTTCAATGGGCTCGAAAGTACATAACGTTGGACATTTGTGTCCCGTTCACTGACGAGACCAGGTCGACTCTTGGCGGACCTGACAAATGGTTGGGTCTATTTCCGATATGATCATCACCAACGTCTACGTGGTCAATAACTGGTTGGAGGAGTCATGTTGTGGGTTATTATCATTGGGGACAACATAGTGGCCCATTTACGGTGCCCGAATGGGTTGAAGTGACCGCAGCAGCCTACTGCAATCTCATGAAGAAGGTCTTGGATTCCTGGCTAAATGACATACAGTTGTCACTACTAAGGACTCTAGTATTCCGGAATAACAACGCAGCGTCCCACTCTACTAGGGACACCCACATTCCTAGGCTCTTACAGCATACAGGGTGAAAAGTTGAGGGTACGGCTGCCAGTCTCTCCGGTTTTCATCCCTATGGAAAATCTTTTGTCCATCATTAAACAAAATGTTTATGTCAATGGACGTTAATTCACATTCAAAGATATGTTATGGGAGACAATCAGAAGCGGCAGCACAAATCGCTGCTATAAAAAGAAATTGGCAAATTCCATGACTATTAGGGTTTTTGAAGTTATCCGTCAAATTGGGGCTCATGTGGCCAAATAATTCTTCATGTTAATAAATATTATAATATTATTATGGATTTCTGTAAAATATCCAATCAAGGTGTGCTTAATATGTATCAATATGTTTCCTTTTCTCCAAAAAATATTTAGATGGGCGATTTTCATTCAAAAGCTTTTAACGTGGTTCACTTAAAAACTGCCGAATTTGGAATAAAAATATACGACATTACACATAATAATGAAAAACTAACAATGGTGTTGCCATATTGTGCAAAACCAGAAAAGGTTTTATCAAATTCAATTCTCAGAAAAGCGATAAATCATAAATTCCACTACCAAGCTATTTCGGGGATGTATTTTGGTTCGGGGTGTGTTTTGAAAAAAAAAACAAGAGCTCTTAGCATCATTGAAAAAAAAAGAATCAAATGAATTATCAAACTTATACTTAGAGAAACTTTCCGGAACAATATTTAAAAAAAAATTACCAGAGGAAAATTCGTTAAAAGATTTCATAGATGTCTCATTTCGACCATTTCAAGGCCAACTCTCTTACCCATCTCACATGGATGAAAATGAAGAAAAACATTCCGAATAGTGCCTTCAACGGATAAAAAAAATTTGAAAACGAAATTAAAAGACAAACTTTAATAGAACGAGCGATTAAATGAAGAGCAGAAATTTTGGTGAAATTTTGACTGGACAAATTGTTAACTGATTTCTAAATGAACTAAGAACCCAATGACCATGAACAGGTTTCCAAAATTACTTTTGACGCTATATAGTCGTCATTGTTGTCGCCGCATAGAACAGTCACTAGTGTTTGAAGACGCCTAGCTACTGCCATGTCTGTGTTTTGAGCACTTTGAAACATAGGAATTTCTAATTGTCATTGAGAATATTTATTATCAAGTTTTACCCCACTCTTATTTCCGGTGAATGCAAGAAGCACTTTTCGTGGTGTAAAGTGCAATCGCCATATCCTGCCTATCTCTTGCCTATATCCTGCCTATATCTTGCCTATATCCTGCCTATATCCTGCCTATTACAGATGAGGTAAAACTTCTGAAAAACTAGACAAAAACTGTATCATTTAAGTATCACTTGAGTTTTACGTAATGTTACATTTTGCAACATAGCAGTGATAAAGTATTATGTACACTATTTACATTATTCGGACTATTGTCCTCATCTTTGTCGCCAGGACACATGGCACAGTGGATAAAGGCGTTGGTTAGATCCAGTGACAGGACCCAAAGAGTGTGAATTCAAGACCTGGTTAAGGCAGTGGAGAACTTGCAGAGGGGAATTAACAGGAGATAACTGATAACTGACATCCATTAAAAATGGCAGTCTACACCAGTGAGCGAAATAAAGTGTTCAGTTGGACGCTCCAACCACCTGAAGAAGGCCGGAGCGTACAACGGCCGAAACGTTGTAATAAATAGGACGACAAAGATGAGGACAATAGCCCGAATAATGTAAACAGTGATAAAGTTTTCTTATATACATTACAGTCCAAATTTTGAGGCAAGTCTGGTAATTTTTTAATTGTCCCGGAAAGTAGTTGTCTTGTACTTTAAATAAGAGAAAATTATTATACATGGTTATAAATAAGTGAGAAATTTTTTATTACGAATTTTATGAAAAAAAGAAAAAAAATTATAATGAAAATTTGCTCTTGTCAAAATATCCTCCTTTAGTCTTGATTACTGCAGCACAATTTTTTTTTTTTTTTTTTGGCATTCATTGCAAAAGTTTCTCTAAGTATAAGTTTGATAATTGATTTGATTCTTTTTTTTTTAATGATGCTAAGAGCTCTTTTTCACTTTTCCCTCTTTTGTCAATTTCCTCCCACGCTAATTCTGGGGGTGACTTCAAAATTTTGAACTGTAGTGTACGTCAAGAGAATTACTTTTAACCTTTATTATATCAGTGTTTCATGAAAAAAATTATTTATATGGTATGTTAAAGTTAGGAATTATCCTAACTTTAACATACCATATAAATAATTACATATTCGTTAACTAAGGAAAAAGATAAATTAATTTTTTTCATGAAACACTGATATAATAAAGGTTAAAAAAGTAATTCTTGAGTGGATATCTTGTGGGTAAAGTGTATTTTACCATAATAATCAGTAATCCGGTAAAATAACATATTCAATAATCTGCAGGTTTCAATAACAGTGGGTTACTGATTGTCCTTATGTACAAAGAAAAATATGCCAGTTGATGTAACCGATAAAATCTGTGACACATGAGAATAACATCTCATCATTTTCGCCACTCAGGATGGTGGAAAATTCGATGCAGAGTTGAAACAACACAAAGCACAGTACTAATAAACCAACTTACTGATAAAAATGATGCTACAGTTTGGAGGAGACTTACTGTCATTTTCTTACCCGTGAGTTCTGAATGCTTCTAATATAAATGTGTAAATCATAATAATAGTGATTTACTTCTTCTATGTACTTTCAAGACGTGGGTGATCATGGCTTTCCACAGCTTCCTATATTTCGTCGCTCTTAGCAACGTTTATCTTTTCACCATTGCTCTGGGTCCCTGTTCTGCCATCCACTTACATAATCTCATCAGGTAGGTTATTCAATGATTTACGCTGTCCCTCAGCTAACAGCCATACCACGTTGAAACACCAGTTCTTGTACGATCAGCGAGGTTAAGCAACGTTGAGTTTAATCATTACCTAGATGGGTGATCGCTTAGGAATACAAGGTGCTGTAAGATTGAACCTGTGGGTGGTGTAATGGATAGCGGCTCGGAATTTGATATGGGAAAGCCGAGTTTCAATTCCAGTCGGGTTCGTCACATTCACTTTCGTACGAATTCCCTTTGTAAAAGGTCTGAATCCATCCCATCTCCCCAGGCCATGGATTAATTAGTAAGACTTTTATCAGTAAATCATTACTATCTCCAAAAACTTCTTACAATCTAAAAACATTTTCTGGCTTTAAACAGACCATGATACGAACTACGAATTGAAGTTAATAAATCCAAGCAAGTACGAAAATTTCAATATCTCGGAAGTATTTTTACAGGGGACAGAATATAGGACACCTAAATCCATTGAAATAGTAAAAAGTGTTTTCCCATGCATGCTTTTATAGGCCTCAAGTTGCCTCAAGTCTCTTCAACTATGAGAGGATCGTCAGGCATTCATTGGCATATAGGAGGACTTTTTTTGTAATGACATTTTCTGTTTCTTAATACTTTGCTTAGCTTTTGGAAAACATATTTGACTATTTCAATGCGCCTATGGATTTAGGTGTCACATATTCCGTCCCCTGTAAAAACACTTCCGAGATATTTAACTCTTCGTACTTTCTTTCCTTATTAACTCTAATTTGTAGTTCATATCTTAGTCTATTCGTCTTATTAGGAAACATATATCCTATCCTCTTACAATTGAAAAAACTGAAGAAAGTCATTAAGGAATTGTATTCGTTTACTCTAGAAACCCATTTCTATTTATACTTCATAAATCTTGATCTCTTAATATGTTCCCTTGATATCTGTTGCAAATGATATTATTGGGTGGCGAAATTAAACGTGTGTTCACTGTTCAGGTTTTCGAATCATTCAAAGTTTCCCAATAAAAGGTTGACCGTGGTATTTTATGACTTTTTCACGGAAGACAAACTCAGCTGACATTCTGTTGTGAATAGAAAATCTTTTTCGAGATGTAGCCTTCCGTTTGACAATTTTACGCTTAAGTAAATTTGATCAATAAAAAGCACCGCTTAAAAAGCTTTGAAGCAGAAAAATCATCCGGTTAGAGATCACTGACCTTAGACTTTTAACGATTGTGTGTTTTGCCCACAATATCAATGCGCTTGAAAGACACGTCAGAAAAACTCGCCAAGGGAATTTAATGAGAAGCACATTTTAAAATACTTTCCCAAAAGTGTATATACACATCACTGGGCCTTCGCCTGAATAAAATTATACACTTAAGTTTTCCAATCAACAGTTAAGAATGCTTATTTGATTTAATCGATTTTACATTTAATTTCTTTCATATGCTTTGTTCCATCAGGACGTGAACGATCACGGCTCTCCACGGCTTCTTATCCTTTGTATACTTACTATTCTTTTCCTCCCTATTCTTACTTTAACACAAGCTATTTAGGATGGTAACTCGCCTTTTTTCTGCTTCCCTTCTTTTTAATATGCGTTCTGCGTGCCAAATTCTCCAAGCCTTGTACTTCATTATGGGCCTTAGAAAATTCAACTTTCTTATTCTGTCTTTAAATAGATCCAGTCCTGGGTATGACGATAAATTACATCCATCGACAATGCCTCTGATCGCAAGATTGGAGGTTTTAAGGATCATGGAACAGCCTCTTAATGTTCCTAGGTACAGCCTGACCCGGGGTTGTAGCACCCGTTAATGTCTCAGATATGAGAAAATAGTGAAAACAAAAACAAAACACAATGAATATATAAAAATATATTTTTATATTGCAAAATCACCAATAATACCTATTTATAGTAAAATGATCAGCAATATAATTGTATAGAATTACTAACAATAGACTTTATAACAAAATGACCAACAATACATTTTACCTATGCCTGAAGGCATACAAAGAAGTTTAAACTATACTTAGTTCAAGCCATAAAATTGTGTTCAAAATATCTAGTTTCGGCATTAAATAACTTATAGAGGCTGATATGCCGCTAATCAAAATATCTAGTTTCGGCATTAAATAACCTATAGAGGCTGATATGCCGCTAATCAAAATATCTAGTTTCGGCATTAAATAACCTATAGAGGCTGATATGCCGCTAATCAAAATATCTAGTTTCGGCATTAAATAACCTATAGAGGCTGATATGCCGCTAATCAAAATATCTAGTTTCGGCATTAAATAACCTATAGAGGCTGATATGCCGCTAATCAAAATCAATTAACGAAATAAACAAGATTAAAGAACACATTTATGTCGTTAATCCAAATAATATCCTAGAATTTCGTAAAAAAATCAAACTATATTCAAAAATATAACTTCAACACAACTACGATGGTCACCTTCAGCAATTATGTCCACAGAAACATCTAGATGCACAAAAGCTAGGTATCATCTACCATGTATTCAGTTATAAAAGAAGAATAATATATTATATTTTTATTACTTCACAGCTTCAAAGAAAAGAAAATTTCGTCATTAAATAACCCATGAAGTGTTGATATGCCATTAAACAAACAAAGCAAATCAATCTAAGTAAATCTGACCTTTTCGTTGCAAAACATCTTTGTTGCTTACATGTACAAGCCGAGAGACACACAAGGTATCGACTTCATGAATAAAATATCCTAATGTGTCCCAGATTTTAATTTTCAAATTTCATTGCATGAGATGACGCCATTAATAAGTAACTAGCACAAAATGGGAAACCGTTTTAACTCAGAGAATCGTCAGCTTTTTCCCATGCCCGTATGATTTTTATCATTTTCCCACTCCCTTAGCGAGAGAGCTTCTTGATTTTGTCCAATGGGCTGAATACAGCGGCCTCTCTGTTTTGAGGGTTGGACGGGTCCTACTAACATCAGTTATGTTTAATTTGATTTGTGCTAATATTTTATTTTGTTATTGGGTCATCTTCCTCCCCTCTCATTTTTTCATCATAGATTTTTATATATATTTTAGTATCATTAATTTTTTATGTCGCGGGGCGCGTTTTTAGGTATCCCTAGTGAAAATGTGGTATCATGGTGTATTGATTGGTGACAGACGAGTTCTTGTGGTGAATGTGGAAATTGTAATGTATGATGGGTCGTGAATCGGATTAGCTAGGTATAGGATAGTTAGTTAAGACCAGCCTCAACCCCTCCCATTTTCGGCCTCGTGCCATGATTGTATTTTTTAATGCAATAAATATTGAGAATCCGTAAACCTAAAATTAATAGACACTAAAATAAATTTGGTAGCGTTAGATTACGATGGGGCTTATCCACTACCAGGAATCATTAGAAAAGAGTTAGAGACCAAAATATAAGAGTAGGTAAAAATCTTGATATTCTTTCTCACGTTTTGATCAATGATCAATATTTTTGTTATAAATCCGGATTTACACAGATTTACTTAAACATAGTCAAAATGTCCAAAATATGCTTTAGATTGTAATGTCAAAATTTAACTACATACATTGACGTCATTTATATAATAACGTCATTGATTAAGTACTATGCACACATTTGAATTATTTACTCACAATGCTATGGTATTACTGGGGCTAAATTGTTCCTAATTTTCATCAACGACCTTCCTGATATTATCAATTCTCAACTCGGTATCTTTGCTAATGAAACAGCTATTTACGCCAGTCTTGATAGTAAGTCTTGCCAGTTTGATAAGATCAAATTGACAGCTAATTTTAAAAATTCACTATACTCAGTTGTTAACTGGGATAAGAAAGGGTTTGTTAATTTTAACACCTCTAAAATGAAACTGCTCTCTTTATGTTCACGTGCCGACGCAAGAAAAACATTTTTAATCAAATTTTTAAAGCTTCTAAAAAGGATTCTTTGATTATTAAATCATATTTGTTGATATAATTTAAAAATCAAAAATCTTTTGGTCGTTCCTCTTAAGATTAAATGTGTAGGACAGGTTTTTCCTCATGTATGCTTATTTTACCTTAAATTCAAAGAGTCTAGGTACCGTAGAGAATAGCTCAACCGAACAATTACCATGAAAGTATTTATAGAAAAGGCAAAGGGAGACAACCTTACGGCGGTAGGAAAGTGACTGAAATCGAGACTCTAGATCAAGTCCAATAATATTGTTGATTCTTCTTTTGATTTTATCAAGGAGTTCTAGATAAATAGCAAGATTATATGTAGCGACAATATTATAAACATGAACATAAGGTACGCCGATAGATATGTAAGATTGAGAGAAATTGTCTACCACGTGAACCAACTTCCTTAGCAGCTGACCTAGAAATGAATTCAATAGTCTTTCCACTTCTTATCAACCTGGAACTTTAGCCAAAGAAGACCTAACGAATTACTCTCCTGGAGGTCAGCATCAGCCATGCTGATGAAAGGCAAAGAGGGTTCTCTCAGATTATTAATACAGAGCAGATTGGTTTTAGAGGCGTTACAATTAACAAGCCATCCTTTGCCCCAGGTAACAGCAGACTGAAAGTAGTTTTAGATATCAGATGCCATCTGATCAAACTTACTATCAAGAAAGGAGAAAATGGTTGTGTCATCAGCGTAGATACCAAGTTGAGAGATGATACATTTAAATTAAAAGTGTAGTGCTCCTAAAATGCTACGATAAAATAAAATAATTTCTTGATGGTAGAGAAACAATTAACCTTATTTAGTTCAATTTTATCCCCACTATTAGTTTCCGCATGAAAAATTAACTCTATAAGCTATTTGATGATGTAATGTTTAGTGTCTTGGAGCTAAAAATCAGTATTTGAGTTCGTATCCCGGTAGAGTACTTTAAATTCACTCTCACAAATAAAATTGGAAGAGCTATTAATCCATCACTTTTCCACAGCTAAACAAGGCGGATTGGCCTCTCTAGCTGATTTTTTTGTTGTTTTTGTTTTTTTGTTTGTTTCTTTTTTTTTGTTTTTTGTTGTTGTTTTTTTGTTTTTGTTTTTTTTTGTTTTTTTGCAACCAGTCAGTTAGAAGAACACATAGAAATCAAAACCGTATGTAGACCAGACAAAGCACTTACTATGCAACCATCGAAAGGATC